ATTAGTGGACACGATCTAATTTTGGTATATTAGTATCCGACTTTTAGGCAAATACCGGTATAAGAGTTGGGTTAAATATAACCCGATCTAACTAATTTTTTATGAAGTAAGTTTCTTATCGGGTCGGATACCATATGTGTCCGCAAATAATTTAACCCACCCGCTAAAAATGTACTTCAAAAATACTAGTATAGATGTCAAAACGTTACACATAACTTTCTTCAATCGTTTTTCTTTGTTCGTTTCTTGGACTCCAACAACCATAAAGGTTAGTTAAATTAGTTGATTTATAGTTTACTATTATCTTGTTGGTTACTTTTAAGTTAGCACCAAGTGTTTTCCGTAAGTCCACTCTCACGTTATGTAAAATTTCTAGAGAGACTAGATATAATAATTAAATAGCGGAAACGATTTAAACAATAAAACAATAATAAGACGACACGAGATTTAACGAGGTATTGGTTGGTTCTCTTTTAAACCAACCACTAGTCCTCGTCTGCAACAAGAGTTTATTAGATCACTTTAAGAAGTACAAGATAGACTTAGAAATTCAACACAATTCTAAAACATCTATCTAAGAACATAAACTAAGGTTAACAAGTAAACTCATTTTACTACCCTTTAATCATGTATGCATTCTTTTTGGAGAAGTCTTTGCTCTGTGCTCCTTACGCCAATAGCAATCTCTTCTCAAAGTGATCTCTCCCCAAACTCAACAACAACACAAGCTTCACACAAACTTATCAAACACTCTGTTTTATGTTTCTCTGTTTTAACAGCACTCATGTGTCTGTAAGAATGAAGAACACGTCTTCTTATTTATAGGAAAAGCACCAACGTCTCTTTCCTATTCTAATTGGATTTTCTGTTAATCATAATCATAATGTTAATGTAGAGAATAAACCATTAATGAAATTTTATTTATTTATTATATTTTTACTCTTTTGAATTAAAAATGAAACTTCTCACGTTAAATAAATTTGGTATTTAGTATTTTTTTACATTTAAACAGGATAATCAAATTTGAGTTTAACAAATACGTATATGTTGGAATTGTATCCTTGATTGAACCTGCAAAAGAGAAAAAAAGAATCCATGAGGAGAAGAAGATGATCGAAGAACAAAAAAAAGAAGCATTGGAAGAAGACGATATCGGAGAAGAGACGTCGTGACGAAATGGTATCATGTTTTAAGTCAATTAAAAAACCCGGTGATTGTCTATTCAACTGCTACACTCACCATTGGAGATTAGTCGGATGGTAAGAACTTGGATCAATCTTAAATGTCAAAAAGAAAAGTCGATCTTCATTACTCTCTCATCTTTTTAATTAATTATTTTTTCTTTAAATGTGAGAAACCTAACTGAGATGCTCTTAACGAGTCTTTGGGCTTAGACCTTATCAATTTGTCCTAGCATACTAATAACGTTCTTAAAATGTGCAAGTTACAAAACAGTTTATAAATTGCTTTCTTTTTTTCTTCTATTGTTACATGTTTGAAGACACAACATACACAAACAAAACCATTACCATTAGCCTGATAAAGTTTGCTTCATGTGGATTAAATGATAAAAGATTGAATTGATTTCTTTGGTCTGACTTTGGCTTATTAAAAAAAAATTAGTTAAGAAGATGTGAATGATTTGGAAAGGTTACAGCCTACAATAAATATTTGGAAATATAAAATCAAACATAGTTGGTAATTAAAAGAAATCAAAGTTAATTAGAACAGAAAAAGTGGATTACAAGATTTGCACTCAAGGCAGTAAGATTGAAGTATTCCACACAATCAAACATTTCTTACTGCATCACGAAATGGAAAATTAAAAAAAAAATTGAAAAGAAACAAAAAAATCAAACAAACCACAAACAAGTCCACATTTGATCACTTGTCAACTTCAGCCTCACCAGAGAGTTCCTCGAGAGACTTGCCCTTGGGCTCTGGGACAAGGAAGGTGAAGAGCATACCGATGAAGTTAAGAACACCAAGCACGATCAGTGAGTTCTTAACTCCGATGCCTGGTGGGTATCCTGCATCAACCTTGGCCTTGTCTTGTGATTGAGCTGCATATAGGAACCCGAAGGCTCCAACGATGGCTCCAGCCTTACCAGCCGCGGCCGATATTCCATGACATGTTGACCTTAGTCTGGCCGGGAATATCTCAGCCGGGACAATAAAAGTGGTTGCATTTGGACCAAAATTGGCGAAGAAGAAAGTGAGAGCGTACATAACCACGAATCCGATACGGTTTTCTGGTTTGGTCCAGTGGTTGTAAGGGAAGGCAATTGCAAACATAAAAACGGTCATCATGAAAAATCCCATTAGCTGGATCGCAAACCTTCCAATGATATCAATAAAAGCAACTGTGAACCAGTAGCCTGGGACTGTACTGCAAAGGGCGATAAGAGTCTGAGCCCTAGCAATCCTGAAAACCTCATGGCTCGCGTTCATGGTGGCTGGCTTTGGGATCCATCCGATGGCCGAGAAAATATCCTTCTGGAACAAGTTTTGGCTGTAGAAGGCAATGTCAAGCAAAAACCAAGTGGAGGTAGTTCCAAGGAGATGAAGCCCATGGCGCCGAAGGAATTCCTTGGAGAACAAGCCATAGTTTTGTCTGGGGTCTTTGACGAAATCCTCGGCCCTCTCCTCAACCTCAAGATCTGTTATGTAAGACCTTGGACATGTCTGCTGTGGCTTGTTTGATGTTCTTGGCCACCAAAGCGGTGTAACGAGCTGTTTCGGGCATCTTCATACGCCAGTAGTAAGTCAAAGCTGCGGGTAAAGCACCATACATGACGATGATTCGCCATATGTAATCAACTTGAGGAGGCGTTGAGAGTACCCTGTCGACTGCATATGTTGGAGCTGGGAACTTTTTGTCGAATATAGAAGACACTGCGAGTGCCACGAAACCTCCAGCCAAGATTCCGACACCTTGCATGGCGAAGACAGCCGCGATGAAAGCCCACGGGTCTTCTTGTTAGCATATTCAGACATGATGGTGGCAGAAAGAGGGTAGTCACCTCCAATACCAAATCCCAGCCAAAACCTATATAATGGTTTATATATTAAATATTTTTATCAGTTTCAAGCGTGACTAATTTTAAAAACTTGCATACGCCATGAGATTATCGATTAACTATATGTGGTGTGTATGATATTAAAGTTGGATGAAAATTGTACCTGAAGAAGCAAAGGGTGGTCATGACACCCTTGGCTTCGTGGCCAAAGGAGAGACCAGAAGCGACAGAGCACACGATCATAATGATCAAAGTGAGACCGTACACTTTTTTCCTTCCGAGTTTGTCACCGAGCCATCCGAAGAAGAGTTGACCAGAAAGGGTTCCACAGAGGGCCACACCGTTGACCGCGGCCGCAACATGAGGGGGAAGTGAGCCAGGCTTCGCTGACGTCGGGTTGAAGTAGTAGATTCGGCCAAGGAGCTTGGTGACCAAGGACACGCAAAAAAGATCGTACGGTAAAAAAACTTTAGAGAGAGAGACGTGAAAGAGGGGGTGAATGCCCATGCATTTAATTTAGTTTTAGGTTTTTAATAATTTAATTTAATTATTTTATTTAATTGTTTTAATTTTTTTAATTAGATGATAAGGCAAATTCTGATTGGTAATTAAAGAGGGGTGAATGAAATGGGTTCACCCCTAGGGGTGAACCCAAGAATTGTTCCCAAAGAACTAGTTCATAGGTTATTATCCGATTTGAGATAATCAAGTGAGATTACACTATTTGAGATTACATGCTATTGGTTTTGTGTTGTCTTCTAAGTAGAAAATATTTAACATTATACTAAGAGCGCAATGCTCGAACAATAAATGATTGCTATCATAGTTTATACGTAGTGCCAACACTGGTTTCTCCCAAATTGAGATATTTTCAAGATGTTCTGAAACCACTCGGCTTTCTCATTTGCTTTGACTAAAGCTATAATGTCTATTTGGAAGACTTCTACGACACTATTGCAGCATCAAATCCAGTCTAGTATAATTGGTCATTTACCAAATAAACTGTTGCAGCATACTCCTATTTTGTCTTTGTATTCATTTGATGATAAATTCATCTACAATCTTACAAAAAAATCTTTCGATTACATGAACTACAATACACCAATCTTTGTAGTTCAGTAATTCTAAAATCTCTCAATTATCTTTTCAACATAATGAACCAGTGCAAGCTGATTTTTTAATTATAAGTTCTAGTGATATTGATCCCTAAAATTACATCCGCTAGCCCTTATATCATTCATGTCAAACTTTCCAATAAGCATATTTTTCGTTTGATTGTTCATGTCTTTATTGCTTCCAAACTTATAGCACTATAGTTGGTTAGATTGTTAAATCTAGTTCTATATGGCCTAATTCCACTTGAAAAAAATCTACCAATGAATACTAATCTACAGACGTTGGATATATTGTTGGGTTTTAAAAAGGTGAAAATAATATAGAGATTTATATATATAAAGATAGCTATTATTTCATGTGTATTCATGGGCCGTGTTAAGCGGCTAGAATTTCACAGTTATGAACATAACATCAGTTTACTTCTTAACAGGTTGCACACACATTAAAACAAAAAGCAAAAGTAGAAGTAGTACACCATTGCAAATATAATTCACTCATCGCAAAAAAAAAAAACGTAAAAGGTAAGAATGCACAAAACCAATGACAAATATATCACGGCATAATCATTTATCAACCTCAGCCTCGCCGGAGAGTTCTTCAAGGGACTTGCCTTTGGGCTCAGGGACGAGGACCCGAAAGAGCATACCAACAAAGTTAATGACACCAAGCATGATCAGTGAG